GGGGGGGGCACTGCCCGGGGGGCTCAGCGGGGTCTCCCCGCAGAGCGCAGACAAGCGGAAGTCCCTGCTGGACGCGATGGCGGTGGAGACGCAGCAGGAGAAGGGGCGGCACCAGGAGGCGCTGGCGGCGCTGCGGCTGCAGCAGGACAAGGAGGTGCTGGGCGTCCGGGCGCACTACGAGCGGGAGCTGCGCCAGCTGCACGAGGAGAAGAAACACCACGAGGAGGAGCTGCGGGGGCAGCTCAAGGAGGAGAAGGTGCTTGGGCGAGGGGGGTAGGGAGCCGGGGCGGGCCGGAGTTTTTACACACAGCTGCTCTGCCCCAGAGGTGGCTGCATCTCCATGCCGGGCGAGTCGTTCCCGTGCGGCGTTATGTGCGGCTGTTCCCCAGCTGCCCCACCCCAGAGCTGGCTGCATCTCAGCCCCGTGGGCTCTGCCCCAGCTGGGTGGGGTCACGCCTCTGTCTGGGGGCCGGGCGGTGATGGTGCCTCTCTCCCCACGCCTAGGCCCGGAGCCGGGAGCTGGAGAGCTCACAACAGACGGTGGAGGAGCTGCGCCTGCAAATCCAGTCCATGGACGGGGCCAAAGGCTGGTTCGAGCGGCGGCTCAAGGAAGCGGAGGTGGGAGAGGCTCCAGGTCCCATTCCTGTCCCCTGCCCTGGGGCCGGGTGGGAGCCGGCGCCCCCTGGAGGGATCCGGCCCCAGGTCCCAACCCCCCATCCCCGGCCGGTCTCACTCCGGGCGTCTCTCGCGTTGCAGGAGCTGATTGAAAAGCACCAACGGAACCACGAAGAGGCGCTTCGAGTGTGCAAGGAGCAGCATGCGGCCGAGCTGAAGGTACGACTGGCAGCTGCCTTCCCCCAGAGGTGGCTGCAGCTCCAAGCCAGGGAGACTCCCGGTGTGGTGTTATACACAGCTGTTCCCCAGAGGTGGCTGCATCTCCGAGCCAGGGAGACTCCCAGTGTGGTGTTATACACAGCTGTTCCCCAGAGGTGGCTGCATCTCCGAGCCAGGGAGACTCCCGGTGTGGTGTTATACACAGCTGTTCCAAGCCGCCCCGCCCCAGAGGTGGCTGCAGCTCCAAGCCAGGGAGACTCCCGGTGTGGTGTTATACACAGCTGTTCCCCAGAGGTGGCTGCATGTTCTGTGGGACAGACAGCCCTTTGACCCCTGGCTGCTTGTCCCTCCCCTCAGCTAAAGGACCAGGAGGTGGAAGGTGCCAGGGAGCAGCTGCGGGCGGCCGAGCGCTCCCGGGACGAGCACGTGGGCACGATCAGCCGCCTCAGACAGGTGAGGGGGGGCCCGGGTTCCTTCCGGCCCCAGAGCCCCCCAGCACAGGGTGGGGCGGGGCTGGGGGTGAAACTGATGTGGCCTCGTCTCTGACAGGAGGTGAAGGACACGGTGGACGGCCAGCGCATCCTGGAGAAGAAAGGCAGCGCCGCCGTGAGTGATCCCCGAGTCCCGATCCCCTCCGGCCCCGCCGCTGGAACCCAGGAGTCCTGATCCCCCGCTGCCCCCCGAGCCGGGACAGACCCCGGGCACTCCCCTTGCTGTGACGCTGCTCGATGCACTGCAGTGTGTGTGGGAGGGGCTGGCAGGTCATGGAGCCCCCTCGGCCCCCTCCAGCTGCCACCATGCAGAGGGGAGACGGGGTTAAACAGCAGCGCGCTCCCCATTAGCGTCCCTGCTCCCCCCAGCGGCCCCTGCCCGGCACAGGGCTGCGCTCGGGGCCCCCGGGGCCCTTTCAATTCTCTGCCCCCCTTCTCCGTAGCTCAAAGACTTGAAGCGGCAGCTGCAGTTGGAGCGGAAGCGGGCGGATAAGCTGCAGGAGCGACTGCAGGAGATCCTGACCAACAGCAAGACCCGGACGGGTGAGCGGGGATGGGATACGGGCCCCCCCACCCCATCTGGCACCAGGGCCGGGGACTGGCTGGCCCGGGGGGGCAGGGAACGGGACACGGGACCTTCCCCTCAACCTCCAAGTCCCTTCCCAAGCGCCTTTGCACAAGTATGGCTCATCTGGCGCTGAGCTGCAGCCACCTCTGGGGCAGGGCAGCTGGGGAACAGCCACACGTAACGTCACACGGGGATGGCTCGCCCAGTCTTGAGATGCAGCCACCTCTGGGGCGAGGTAGCTGGGGGGGTGTACAGCCACACAGTGAATCTGCAGTGATCTTAGGCTGTGGCCTGTAGGGGGCGATGGGAGCGCGGCCTGTGAGCTGTTCCCTCTTCCACCATTAGGGGGCAGTCCCACCATTCTCCAGGTGGCCAAGGCTTCCCAGAAGGGGGAGGGGGCCGTTTCAAAGGAGGAGCCTATGGAACTCCTCGCCACAGGATGGCCCAGAAGGCTAAGAACTCAGCAGGCTTTAGAGCGGGGAGGGAGGTGTGTACGGACGCGGGGAGCGCCCCAGAGGAGCGTGTGTTTGACGCGGTGGCTTTTGGGGCTGGGCCGTTCCTTGAATCTGCGGAGTTTTCCCCACCACAGCGAGACGCCATCGAGGGCGGCGTCTCCAGGGCCGGGCGCCAAGAGGCAAAAGCGTTCTGCTTTTCACTGGAACGTGGCAGGAGAAGGGGAGATCAAATATTAAACGCGTGCGTCGTTTCCGAGCCGGCCTCGCTGCCGCGGGGAGCTGGAGCGTTAAATACGCTTCTGGGCATGAAATATTAATTCCCATGGCAAAGAAACACGTTGAAATGAAACGTATTTATCTGGAGCTCCAAGCCTTCATCTCCCTCGGAATAACCGTCACCTGGCTTAGCGAGCCCCTCAATTTCTATCCCCCGCTGCAGGGGGGCTGGGAGCCAGGACGCCTGGGTTCTCCCCCCAGCTCCAGGAAGCCGTTATATGTGGCTGTTCCCCAGCTGCCCCACCCCAGAGCTGGCTGCATCTCAGCACCGGGCTCGCGGGCCCCATGCAGCATCGCAGCCCCCACCCCATTCGGTCTGGTTCATCTCTGCTCAGGCTGTGAATTATTCCCTCACTGGTAGGGAATTGGGGGGGGGGGGGCGGCTGTCAGCTGGTATTTGGTTTGACGGGGGACCCCTCTGTTTGGAACGTCCCAGCAGAAAGGTTTGGGGGGGCTGGGAGCCCGGACTCTGGGAGGGGAGTGGGGGTGGGGGGAGCCCGGACTCCTGGGTTCCATGCCCTGTCTCCGCAGGGATTGAGGAGCTGGTTCTGGCCGAGATGAGCTCTCCCAGCCGGGCACAGACGGGCGACAGCAGCAGCATCTCGTCCTTCAGCTACCGGGAGATCATGAAGGAGGGGTCCGGGCCGGGCAGCACCAAGGTAAGGGGTGGGGCTTCCTGCTCGGGGGCGGGGCCTCCTGTGTGCCAAGCCCCGCCCCCATGCTTCTTTCCCCTTCCCTCCTAAAAGGGCAGGATCTCCTGTGCTGGCTCTCAGCTGCCCTCTGCCCCTTCCTATTCCCTCCCTGCCCAGGGGGCGTGGCCTCTGCTGCTAGCCCCGCCTCTTATGCCTGGCTCCTCCCCTCCCCACTTCCCTCAGACTATGCCCAGCCCTGCCCCCATGGCAGGCCCCGCCCTCTTCACAACCCCCCATCACCCCTCCCCCTGGTGTCTGGCTGGCACTCAGGGCAGCTCTGCCCCCCTCCAGTCCAACACGGGGAGCCCCCAGGCCCAGCGCCCCGCGGAGCTGTCGGACGAGGAGATCTCGGAGCTGTTCCAGCGCCTGGCGGAGACGCAGCAGGAGAAGTGGATGCTGGAGGAAAAGGTACCAGCCCCGCCCTGCAGGGGGCGCTAGGGAGTGGGGGGGCGGGAGTGGGGGCTGCGGGCCGGGAGTGGGGGGCGCTGGCTCGGGCCGGGGGGGCTGGGGGCCGGGGGGCGGGGGGGGGTGGGGGGGGGGGGGGGGGAGGCGGGGAGGGCTGCGGGGCAGGAGTGGGGACGCGGCCGGGGGCGGCTGCGGGGCAGGAGTCGGGGGCGCTGGCCGCGGGGGGCTGCGGGGCAGGAGTGGGGGGCGCCGGCTCGGGCGCTCTGACCTGCCCCCACAGGTGAAGCACCTGGAAGTGAGCAGCTCCTCGATGGCAGAGGATTTGTGCCGGAAAAGTGCCATTATCGAAACCTACGTCATGGACAGTCGCATCGGTGAGAACCCCGGTGTCCGGGGGGCGGGGGGGCTTCTCCCTGTCCCAGTGGGTTGGATTCATCGCCAGACGTCCCAGACGTTACGAGGCCGGGGGGGGCAGGGAGCCGGGGTGGGGGGTGAGTCCTGCTGCACAGCATGCTGGGAAAACCCTCACCCACTTCCCCCCCCCCCCCCGGGGGGGTCAGGGGGGGTGGGGGGGGCGGGGGTCTGCTGGGGGGCTGTGGGGGGGCTGGTCACCCCCTCTCGCCCTGAGCGGCCTGGTCACCCCCTCTCGCCCTGAGCGGCTCATTGGTCGCTGTCGGTGTACAGGACACTGGGCTTGAGAGACCTTTGGTCTGCCCCAGTCTGGCCGCTCTATGTGAGCCACCCCTGTGCAATGTTCTGTGCGGCTGTTCCCCGGCTGCGCTGCCCCAGAGGTGGCTGCATGTCGGCGCTGAGCGAGCCGCCCCTGTGCAGCGTTCTGTGCGGCTGTTCCTAGGTCCCCACGGCCT